CACAAGAGATGTATAGAAAGCCATGCAAAGTTAAAACAGTTTAAACTTAAACTTCGAAAACACATCGCGAATTTGTGGAGGTTTATTCCTTTTCACTGCGTCTCATATGTTTTTAAATGCAGTCTGTGTGACTGGCACTTCGGCTCTTTGGATTAAGCAATGCATAAATACATGATGCTGTCTTGTTCATAATTGTTTATGCAATTTACAAAATTATTTTAGATTTTTACGAGTTAATTTAGACGTAATGCACGTTTTTTTATAGACAGTTATTTCTTTGCGTTGACAATTTAAATGTGCTGCATTATTTTGCTCATTGCGCCCTCCTGTGGCCTCGGGAGACAAGCCAAAAGATTCCTTGAGACCTATTTAATCTGCATATAAAACATTAGAAATTAGATATTTGTTTAATTTTTATTGTGTTTAACTGTTAAAACAAAAAAATATTTGTTGTTTGTCTCAATAAATTGGGTTAATTTAAAAATACAGTGGTTAAATTTGAAATTTTTTTCTATTGCTCTTTGTTTTAAAAAAGGTCAATAGACCCATAAAAAATGTCAATAATTATCGATACCGAACGATATGAAACATTATAGCATTGATACTTATAGCATTGATACATGATATTTTTTAGCTATATCGCCCAGCCCTAATTGAAAGTGATAGACTTTTAAAGTAACATTTTCTCTGTGCCATCTTTATTGAAGAATTGGTTTAAACAATCATGATTATTGTTGGAATTTTGTAGAATCTTGTTTACAGCCAATAGAATCAACCAATGCTTGTTGATTATGATTATTGATGGAAAAAACACCTCTCAGGCAATGCAACAATTAATATAATTGGCAAATGTAATGCTTACTACAAATTTTTTTAATAATAATCACATCTTATTTATTCATAATTGTAATAATTCAAAATATTAATTATGATTTATTTGTTATATCATTTATATTATTTTCAATTGTACTGGTAAGACTGCTTAAAGTACAGTCTAAAACCATCTTTTACGTTTGTTGTGTGTACGTTTTGAAGGCGTCAGCATGAATGTCTTCTAAAGCGTAACATTTTTCCTGCGCCACATCTTTATTGAATAATTGGTTTAAACAGTCACAATTATTGACGGAATTTTTGTGGAATCTTGTTTACTGCCAATAACATCAACCATTGCTTTTTGCTGATAACACATGCACATTGTTTCGGTTCATGCACATTTTTGGGATGTCTTTCTTGAACGGCCTGTTTCACATCACAGCAGAGCGTTTCAAAAGAAGTGGGGTCAGGACTCTAATTTGGCCATTGTGAAGTGCTGAATTTCTTTTGTTTGAAGCGTTCTGTTGTCGATTTACTCCTGTGTTTTGGATCATTGTCATGTTGAATGACCCAACTTCTTTTGAGTTTCAGATCACAAACAGACTCTCTGACATTCTGCTCCTGATATAACTAGGAATTCGTTGGTCCCTCAGTGACTCCAAGCCTTCCAGACCCTGAGGCAGCAAAACAGCCCCATATCATTACACTCACCCACAATCCTTCACAGCCGCAATGATGTTTTGGCAATGGTATGGAGAGTTTTATTCTTTTCATTTATTTTAAGTATATTAAAAAATCCAACTCTCTCAAGTGCAAATGACACCACTATCAAAATGCATTATGTTGGTCACTACTAAAAAAAACAATATTTTTAAAAATGATTAATTTAAGTTTTAATTTTTTTTTTCCATTATTACCATTTTTCTGATAAGACAGGTAAGTTTTTAACAGAAGAGTTATTTTTCTTTATGTGTCTATTGGAATATGTGACCTTATTGCATATGTGGCAATTTAAAAAGCAATTCAAAAATAATTCAAAAGTAATCACATTATGTTACTTTAATTTTGTGGTGCATTACTGATTAAATAGGTTAGTAATTAATCATTTGTACAGTATATATTTATTTATTAGCTACATCTCTGGTTCAGTGTCACTTCTTTAGAGATGCAATGGTTTCTCCTTGCAACTGGTAAAGTATTTGTAGCACAGCAGTTTTTAGGGAAGGGTTGTTTTATTTTACAGGCAAGTGACGCTTGTTTTCTATTTATTGAAGCTGTTTCAGTACACATCAGACTGGCTTCGTCTTCTAGGAAACACAGCAATGGTGCTGAACTGATGGTGCTAATCTGCCTGACTCTAGGCATAAATCTTCCGAAATCCTTTGCAAACATTGAGTTTTATGAGTTCTTTTTTTTGAGGTTTCCTGAAGTCCCTTTTGATCAGACTAGATTGCTCTTGAGCACAATTGTTTGCTGAGGAACAACTAACATGCTGCTTTCCATTCAGGATGGCAGGTCAAACCCACAGCTGAGTCCAATTACCTTCTTTTCAAGAGGTCATTATTGTAGAGGTTATCTTGATTGTTTAACACATTTGTTCAATAAAGACACGGCACTGCAAAATGGCTTGTGTGTGTGGTTCTAAATAAGGCCAGTCACATGGGGAAGCTGTCACCTAAAAATATTTTTCAGCAACTGTAAGGTGTTAAATATTTGAAACATTAGCCCCTTTGACACAGTAATACCAGTAAATTGCCGTAAAATTATCAGAACGACTTTACCGGTAAATACAAAAATGCACTGTTCACACAGACAATGATGTTCCGTCTTTTTACCAGTAAAGCACCATTCACACATCACTTTAAAAATACCGGTAAATTCTGTGTGTACGTGTACAATTCTGTGACATGCAGCTGCTTTTGGCCTAGAGACATCATATTAGACGACTTTAGACATTTCTTTGACTTCCGTAAACAGCGTGGAGTAAATGCGTCATCTGCGTCAAAATGTTATGATTGGCCTAGAGTAAAAATCTTATGTCAGCGCGTTGTGAACTCGTACATGCTCATACTGGTAATCTTGTTCTGGGTTCACACAGAGAACATTACCGGTAATTTACTGGGAATGTTACAACTTCTCATACCAGTAAATTGCCAGAATGAATTTACCAGTATTTTTCTCAAAATGGTTGACTATATCATGAAAGTAGATTTTAGCTAAAAGGTTGAAATGTGTTTTCAGAAAAAGGCTACTGTTTTTTTAAATATCAGGGCAGGACAAATTGTCACTTTTATATTGAGACATTTTATCACATATATTTCACATTTTTATTTTATACCATTTTTTTATTACAATATTTTCTTATCTTTTTAATTTAAAATTTTACTAAAAAGCCAATAATTGGCTTTAACACATAAAACAAAATTGACAGAAATCTATACTTTTATTCAGCAAGCACACATTAAATTGATCAATATTATCAGTAAAGAAATGTACAATATTACAAAAGACTTTAATTTCAAATAAATGTTCTTCTTTTAAACTTTCTATTCATCAAAGTATCCTGACATAAATGTATCATGGTGCCCACCAAAATATTAAGTGGCATAACTGTTTTCAACAGTGATAATGATAAGAAAAATATTTCTTCGAATCAGCAAATTAGAATGATTTCTGAAGGATCATGTGACACTGAAGCCTGGAGTAATTGCCAGTGTTGTCAATTTCTTTCAAAGGAAAGTAGCTAAAGGCAGCTTGAAAAGTTGCAAAAAGTCGCTAGATGACGTCATACTCTAATTAGCATATTCACGACATCATTGCGTCGTATTTCCTTTTACATTTGTTTGCATCTCTGTGCTCACATACTGTATTTTAATGCAGCCAAATTCTCAATAAAACCATTCATTTATATATTTTAGAGTTTCTGTTGTCAGACAGCGGGATGAATATGAAATAGTGACTGAAACACGGCCCATTAAGACTACATAACCAGCTCTCCCTTCCAAGATGTTAATCTGCACAAAAATCCCGATTTTATAATTGAGATGTCATCTGATGAAATCAAATACACATAAGATAAGACAAGACAAAGACATTGCCTGTGCTCTGATTTTGGCTATATGCATATAAAATTAGAGACGCAACAGTATATCTATTTTAACTGAAAGCCCTGCTCTTCTCAGCCACTCGCTGAACAGAGCAGACGCAGAGAGAGAGAGGTGTGTGCACGCTGGGAAAGCAAGACCTCGCGCTCGTGTGTCAGTACTGGTGAGTCTCAGAAACTAAATAAGGTTTGTCCAAGAAGTTGCTAGATGTGTTGCTAGGCGCTTTTTTTTTTGTGGAAAAAGTCACTAGGGGGGTCTGAAAAGTCGCTAGACAACAAAGCAGGTAATGACTGCTGAAAATTCAGCTTTGCCATCACAGGAATAAATTACATTTAAAATATATGAAAATAGTTGATGGTTCTATGCATCAATTCTGGATCTGATGAAGGCAGGTCTGAATGCAAGCTTACAGCCGATTGTAAAAAATGATTGGAGAAGTGTGACAGCATCTTTCTATTATCACTAAACAGCCTCATGTGTTAAATGAGCTGTATCGTTTTTCCTGGGCAGTAACAATGAAAATCTTGATTTTACAGCATAACAACTAGCCCCAGTCTCCCCAGTATTTCTTGTTAAGATCAGACTGTAATCTAAAAATCATTCACACAGAAATCCAGATTATTTAAAGGGTTTGGCTGTGTATACAGTATGTGTGTATGTAGCACTCACTCTTGACGGTGCCCTTAACTGCATCTGCTACAAAAGCAATGGAAATGAACAAAGCTATCACCTCTTCTATCGACCTGTGGGTCAAAAACAAGAACAACAAAAACATATCAGTATTCAAGCAGTGGCATCTGCACAATTATCTATATTTGTAGGTGTGTGTGTGTGTGTGTGTGTGTGTGTGTGTATGTGTGTGTGTGTGTGTGTGTGTGTGTGTCTGACCTCTTGAAAAGCTTAACAAGCAGGCTAAGGTTGAAGACTCCTCCCATGATGAGGAAGAGGCTGTTCCATAGGCCGATACATGCATAAAATGCTGCAAAGTCCAGCTCATAATCATCACAGATCCCCCTAATCACTGCAGCCACACAGAGACAAACCCACAGAAGCAACAACACAACATCCAGATCATTAGGAGCGAACAAAAACACAATCAACTCAAATCTCATAATGACACAGTAAATTATAACACACAGTAAATGTCCATCGTTTGATGTTTAAAGAACTGCTCCCAAACATTTAAAGAATTCCTGCTGTTATTCCCATGAGAAACCACAAGACAAGATCTTTGATTGGGAAGGATCATTATTATAGATGGATGTGGCGGTTTTGTCCTCCTCTGTGCATTTTTATCCAATCAGAATTTCATTTTACTACAGCGAAACCATTTTTCAGGGCAACCCTCCCGCTGGTAACAGTGTGCGACTGCAGCCGCAGGAATGAGCTTTAGGAGGAAATCTCATTAGGACTCCTCCACATGAACAGAAACACAATCAACTCAAATCTTATAATGACAGGGGATTATAACGCACAGTAAATGTCCACCGATTGATGTTTAAAGAACTGCTCCCAAACATTTAAAGAATTCCTGCTGTTATTCTCATGAGAAACCACAAGACAAGTTCTTTGATTGGGAAAGATCATTATTATAGATGGATGTGGCGGTTCTGTCCTCATCTGTGCATTTTTACCCAAACAGAATTTCGTTTTACTACAGCAAAACCATTTTTCAGGGCAACCCTCCCGCTGGTAACAGTGTGCGACTGCAGCCGCAGGAATGAGCTTTAGGAGGAAATCTCCTCTCAGCCAGGGCAAACATCAAACTTCGCCCAAACAAATGGCGGCCATATCGGACTCCCATCCTGCTGTTTGTGAGATTAAGAGTCTTGTTCCACCTCATCCTGTGGTTAGCAGAGCTCTCTAAACACTCAACGTCAAAGTATTCAACAAACAATGAGTGCTCATCTAAACACACCGCAAAAACGAAGCACGGTTTAGGACCAGACCGCAAACGAGAGCCAAGGTATGTGTGTATGTGAACGTGCATCTATTGTTGCACATGGAGGCATGTATGTACATACCGCTGATGAAAATAGCGATGGGCGCTGTGGTCAGTGGAATGACGAGAGGAGAGCCAGCACACAATGAGTAGATGATTCCACCTATACTCTGCCCGATGATCGTCTTCTGAACGTCTAATCAAGAGAGAAAACAACTCAGCCTGTGTGTGTGTGGAGACGTGGTGTGTGAAGAGCATATGTGTGTGTCTGTGTGCGAGTGATCACCAATCTCGCCCCGAGTGCTCTCGTCGTTGAGTGAGCCAAAAGCAATGGCGGGAAGCAGCACAGCGATGTAGAGGAAGATGGACGTCGTCATGAACTTGACCAGGGCTTTGTTATTACCCACTAATCCTGAAACACACACATTTATAGAAAAAATAAGTCTCTAATGCTCACCAAGACTGGATTTATTTGATAAAAATACAATAAAAACAGTACTATTGTGAAACATTATTACAATTAAAAATAACTGTTTTCTGTTTTAATTTTACAATGTATTTATTAACAGTCATTGCTCCAGTCTTCAGTGTCACATGATCCTTCAGAAATCATTGAATAAAATGTTGATTTAGTGCTCAAGAAACATTTATATTTATTATCTATGTTGAAAACAGTTGTGCTACTTAATATTTTTGTGGAAACAGTGGGGGGGGGTTTCAAGATTTTTTTGATAAAGTGGAGAACAGAATAAAAAAAAAATTTGAAATATGCACTGTAACATAGATGTCTTCACTGTCATTACTTTCCTATAATGTATCCTTGTAAAGTAAAAGTACTAATATCCTTAAAAAATACTGACTCCAAACTTTTGAATGTAAGTGTAAAGAAATTACAATTATAACTAGAAATGTATCATTTATATACAGGTATAAATGGAATGTATATACTGTATATATACAGAATATATAACTGGAATATTTCACTGCAAAACAGAAAAATCTAATTAATCAGTGTTTTTTTAACGGCTTATATCTAAATGAACTGTTTCACCAAAATGAATCAGACTTTTTAATGCAATAAGAGAAAGAGAGAGGAGAGTTCAGAAGAGCATATCTGATTATTTCCTCAGAATGCGTGGCTGTACTGTACAGTATATCTCTGTGAGGAATATAAAGTGACATAAAACCCAGAAATATAGCATTTTGTAATTTCTGTTTGTTCCTGGTCCTGCTTGTTACTAGACAAGCTCTTATGAAATCATCTAAACTACTGTCACATCTTTAAATATAACTAAGGACGTTAATAAGACCATTGGAGGACCATATGCCCTTTTTGAAAACACACAAAAAACAACAATTTCCAGAACATCTGCAAAATGTGATCCTTTATGTTAAAAACATTTGCAAGTTTATGCTTGACACACCATCAGTGAAGTCAGACGGGTAGAGTGGCAGTCGGCGACACAGATCCTCATAGATTCCTCTGCCCACTCTGAAAAAATCTCTACACTACACACATACAGAGAGAGAGGGAGAGAGAGGATTACTCACACAAACATGTACATACATCTACATATATAAAAGTCAAAACATTTAAATACATTTACTGCAATACTGCAGCAGGAGAGGCACAGGATTAAAGCACATACACACACACACACCAATTAAACATAATACACCCCAAATCCTGCCGAATCACAGCAAATACACACACAAAAGCACATACACTCACACAACGCTTTACACTGCAAGGGAAGAGATACTGTGTTAAAGCAGACAAACACACACACACTCTCTTACTTAAATCCTCACACACACAGACACACACGTACACACACAGAAGCTCAGTGTAATCGCACTCACACAGGGCCCCCTGCACAGCAGAGAGAGAGACACAGGATGAGAGAACACAGATTCTGCAGACTAGAGAGAGAGACAGCCCAGTGTTAGAACAGCATTAGTACAATGCAAACGCATTACAACTACATCAGCAAAGCACAGTCAAGACACCTGTTACATTACTCTAAATATCCATTAATGTAGCATCAGAAAACATCTGGCACGTGCATTTCAGAGACCTGCATTAGACTGGCTTAAGCATTTTATAAATAAAAAGCGCTCATAAAATGTATATGGGTCAAAGACGAGATGGCACCATTTTGGTGTCCGCATCAAATTACATTTACAAATGTCATTTTAAAAACATAAAAAACATCTTAAATGCAAGTAAATTGTCTACTTTCATATTTTTGATATTTTGAGACAATAAAATGTCAAAATATGGGGGAAATATTGTTCCAAAGTGTAAAATTGTCATTCAGTGTAATAGTCCGGACTTTGATTTTACCAAGTAAGTGGTAGTTTTCAAGTAAGTGTTGGCTGTGTTATATTAAAAGAACTATGTCTTATTGCTTTTTTAAAGTATTTAAATATACAGGGGACTTTTGTCCCGAAAATGCAGTTTATCAGAGATCATTTAGTGTAACAGGAATAAGAAGTTATTCTGAAATCAAATAAAAAACTGATAGTCATTCGACAGTGTGTGACATCATCAAATGGCTCCTGAAAGACCGTGTGGTGCTGCAGAAAAGTGAGTTTATTGCTCTTAAAGTTATTCTGAAATCATATAAAAAAACTGATAGTCATTCGGGGGTCTGTGACATCATCAAATGGCTCCTGAAAGACCGTGTGGTGCTGCAGAAAAGTGAGTTTATTGCTCTTAAATACTTGATAATTTCATCTTTTCATGGTGCGGTAACGTAGGTTACAAAAACACATTTCATTCAGTGAAATGCCAAAAAACACTTTTATTGTTAGATTTTTTGAAAAAGAAGTAGATGTGAATAATTGCGATTATCTTTACTGGTCAAGCTCACTGTTTGAAATAGGTGGCCATTTGGTTGCCTGCAATATTAGCTGAAGTAGAAGTTTCGTCATTCAGGGTAATGGTTTTGTCATGCAGTGTAATGCAAATTCTCTGTTACACCACAGTGTCATCCATTACACTGAATGACAGTATCACTGTATAAATAACAATTTTAGCATCTTATTGATATTACAGATAAATGAATGTTTAGCATTGACAAATATGTGTTAAATTTAATAAATATTAATATTTGAATGCATTTTGACATTGTTAAATTTGTGTTATTGATTAATTATAGACACCCATGAACAGAGGGAGACGCTAGGCACTGTAAAAAAACCAAAAAACTAATAAAGTAAGTGTGGACCCAGTAGCTTAGGTGGCACTCTTAAAGCCTGTTCACACCAAGAACAATAACTATAAAATAACTATAACAGTAACTATGTTAGCCTCCACAGCGATGAACAATAGCACTGTTCATTCTAAGCATGTGCTGCAGGTTTGTTGTCTACCACTTTAAATGCTGGAGCTCTTTAAAGTTGAATGGATTCTGATTGGCTGTCAATGCTTTTATCATTCATCAGCTGGAATAAAAAAATCCAACAATATTTTTTCTCTGTGCATTTATCGTTAGTTGTGCTGTGGAATCTGCTATTCTTTTATAGAATTTTTAATTATTATTTTTTTTTATCTTTATCTTTATCGTTGTCGTGCTTGGTGTGAATGTGAATTTAGCCAGGAAAAGAGAAGGATATTGAGGATTGCAATTGTTGGAATAATAGCTTGCCAATATTTCTGGGCAGAGAGTCCCCCCTCACCACAGTATGTCACAAGTTCAAGAGAGATCACTGAGGGGATTCTCCACCCCAAATGTTCATCCTGATAATGTAATTTATGTTGGCAAACAGAAAGTATTAATAAATATGGCTGTCAGCAGCAATTTTGAGGCCGAGCAAGTTAGAAACGAAGTGACAAGCTAAGCAAGCATAGCAGGGGAGCATCAGTAAAATGCTTATTATATTTCAACATTTGCTTCTGCGGTCATTTACTCAGGAATATTATTAAAATTAATTTAATGACACAGATTTATGCTAAAAACATTTCAGTTATGGGAACAATGGCAATATTATCTCTCTTTTTGGCAAATCGTTATTCAGAGTAACAAACCACGGTCATTCAGACTTCTGCGGTCATTTACTCAGGAATATTATTAAAATTAATTTAATGACACAGATTTATGCTAAAAACATTTCAGTTATGGGAACAATGGCAATATTATCTCTTTTTGGCAAATCGTTATTCAGAGTAACAAACCACGGTCATTCAGCGTAACAGATATGTTTACGTAAAAATGAAACAATATACTTATTCTGACCTGTACATATTAAAATACAAAAAAGAATATGTGATCATACTAAATTTTATTATATTTTAAATGACTTTCAGTTCCTTACAAAAACTTTGTGCTGGCAAATGGGAAAACCTAGTGGTTTGAAGGACATTAGCAAAGTATAAAGATTTAAAAATTAAAGTTAATTGATATTTGAGGGCTGCACTGTGATGCTTAGAGTCTTTTAATATGCCATCAAATGATTCATGTTTTAAATATGCCTAACAAGATTTTTTCGTATATAAGTATATAAATGGCATTTTAGTGAGTGTCTTTTGTCAAACATAGTTGTGTGTATTAGTGTTTTGGCATCAGTATGACCTTATATTTTGTTCTATATATATTTTAATTGTGAGTTTGCAGTCTGAATTTAATATGATGAGAAAGACCCGAATAATACAAAATAATACAAAGACAATAAATAGAAATCATATATTTTGATTGTATTCATTGGCTTCATATAAACTCAAATGTACAGCATATTGTAACGAATTATCCACTGAAGGCGAGTGTTGAAGTGAGAACCCAAGTGCAGTTTATTTACAGTGATCCAAACATAATCCAAACAGACGAAGACTAGAAATAATAATCCCTGACTTGACTTGACATGAACAGACTTGACTTGACATGAACAGACTTGACTTGACTAGGCATGAACAGACTTAACTC